CGGCCGCGCCGCCGCTCCCGGAGCTCTTCCAGGGCGCCGAGCTGAAGCCGGACGAGGTGAAAGGCGGCTACAGGGTCACCGAGTACCTCACCTACAACTGCCTGGCCGTGAGTGCCGCGCCGTGCCGCGCCGTGCYGCGCCGTGCCCGCGCCCGTCAGCCGCTCACCGCGTCCCGCAGAGCGACACGGACCTCTACGGCGACTGCCTGCGGAGCTTCTGGACGTGCCCGCACTGCGAGCTGCGCATGCCCCTCACGCCGCTGGAGCGCGTGTGCCACGAGAGCGCGTGCCGGCCCGAGCACGGTGAGCCGGCGGGCGCCTGGGGAAGCGGAGCGCCCGCGCGGGGCTCCGGCGCGCCACGGACGCTCTCCCTCCCGCTCCTGCAGCGCCCGCTGAGGAGGAGGCCGGCGGCCCGGCCCCRCGGGCGACGGCGCTGCACCGGCCCTACCGCTGCGACGTCTGCCAGCAGGACTTCACCTTCACGCCCACCGAGATCCTCCGGCACAAGAAGCAGCACCAGTGACGCGGCGCCGGAGCGGGCAGCCATCCCTGGGGCACGGTCCGGGCTTTGTGCCCTTGGTGTTTTTCAGGAAAAAGGAGCGGAAACGACCCTTTTCCTGGTGCGGCGCGCAGGAGGAGCCGTGGCCCCGTGCGGGAGCGCGGCGCGCTGCGCGGCACGGCCAGCGTGGGGCACTCGGCGACCGCGTTCTCGCCCTCATCCCACGGCGGCATCCCCGGATCATCCCGCTCTCATCCCGGCCTCTCCAGCTCCCATCCCGGTCACATCCCACAGCGGCATCCCAGGATCATCCCACTCTCATCCCGACCTCTCCAGCTCCCATCCCGGTCACATCCCACAGCAGCATCCCCGGATCATCCCACTCTCATCCCGGCCTCTCCAGCTCCCATCCCGGTCACATCCCACAGCAGCATCCTGGGATCATCCCGCTCTCATCCCGGCCTCTCCGGCTCTCATCCCGCTCGCATCCCACGGCGGCATCCCCGGATTATCCCGCTCTCATCCCGGCCTCTCCAGCTCCCATCCCGGTCACATCCCACAGCAGCATCCCCGGATCATCCAGCTCTCATCCCGGCCTCTCCGGCTCCCATCCCGGTCACATCCCACAGCGGCATCCTGGGATCATCCAGCTCTCATCCCGGCCTCTCCGGCTCCCATCCCGGTCACATCCCACAGCAGCATCCTGGGATCATCCAGCTCTCATCCCGGCCTCTCCAGCTCCCATCCCGCTCGCATCCCACAGCGGCATCCCGGGATCATCCCGACCTCTCCAGCTCCCGTCCATCAGCAGCGACTCCATCCCGGGAGCACCTCCCCGGGATGGGGAGCGACGAGCGCTCCGCGTGATGCTAATTAATGAACGATGAGCTAATGACGCCTGCAATTAGCACCTGGATTGGCCTTGTGTCCTCCAAAGCCCTTGGCAGACAGGGTGAGCTGGGCTCCCTTCGGCTTCCCCGCGCGCTGATCGCGGAGACGCAATTGGAGGGGGAACACGGGATTGCCGGAGACGCCTTTCCCTCCCGGAGAACAAACCCGGAGCAGGTGAAGCAGCCGCCCCTCGCACAGGATCCGGCCTCTCCGGGGGCTCCCGCTGCAGGACGCGCCCGCGAGGCGCCGGATTCGGGACCCGTGAGGGTTGCGGGTCGTTAGCGTCGCGCCTGGTAATTAAAGCGCCTCGGCGCGGGCGTTTTTAGCTCGCGTTGCGTCTTGCTCGGCGCGCGCTCCCGGGCCRCTGCGTTAGGGCAAAACCAGGCGCCTTCCTTCCAGCAGATGAGAAAGGAAGGGAATTACGTTAGAAAAACATAAAACATGTCACAAAAAAATGAATATGCAAATATAGATTCATACAGATACGTATAGATACGTATAGATACACAGCTCCCGGCTGCGCTTCGGCATTACGGGCCTCCGGAGCCGCCCGGTGCCCCTGGTCCCGGAGCTGCTCCCGTCTCGCCTGCGATGAGCTCCGCTGAGCGGGATAACGCGGCTCCGGGGCCAGCGAGGCGTCTCGGGGGAGAAAAACGCGGGAAAACGCCTGGAGAAAGCGCCGAGCGGCCCTGTTCCCGCGGCGGCTGAGCGCCGGGATGCTCCCGGCGCCGCTTCCTTGGCGCTCCCGGGCGTTCCAAGGTAGGAGACGCGCCAGGGAGGAGGCAGCAGTTGCCCCTGGGCTTCGGTGGGAGCTCCGCGAGGAGCCCCGGCCGGAACCGGGAGCCGCCGGGAAAAGCTCCGGCGGGAAGGGGAGCCCCCCGGGACGGGCTCTCCGGGATGCTCCGAGCGCGCGGACCCACCGCCGGCCGGATTCCTCTCCCGGGTGCCGAGGTCGGAGAACTTCCATGCATCGTCCTGCCCCTTCTCCTCATCCTCCTCCTGCTCCTGCTCTTCCTCCTCCGTTTCCTGCCCCCTCTCCCAACCAAAGCCCATCTCGCGGGCAGCTTTAGACGTTCCGAGGAAGCCGCTTTTTCCCATTATTTCTGGCAGCTAATTAGTGCCGACAGTTAATTAATCCGTTCCGCTCGCTCTCCTCAGCTAAGAAGCTGCCGGATCCCTCCCGGAGCAGCAGCAGGTTGGGACGAGGCCGAGACGAGGGAGCGCTGAAGGTGAGTTCAGCGGGAGAGGCCGGGCCCATAAAGCGCCCAGGGATTCGGGATTYGGGATTCGGATGCGCCAAACCCAAAGGCCGCCCGTTTTCCTTCCCCGCCGCTGCAAAATAAAATTGCCTTGTTCCACTTAAAAAAAGGAAGGTTTAATTTCTTGTAATAATTGCTGCAGCAATTCAGCCAATTTAATTTTTTTTTTGCCTTTTTTTTTTCTCTTTTTGGGTAACCTGAGCTGATGGGAAATTGCTTTTGCTTAATTTAATTACAGCTGTGGCATAACACATTAAATATGCACTCCCTTTGTGTTTGCGCTTGGAGTCAAGAGCTAGAATTAATTAGTGCTTAACTTTGAAAAATATCTGCAGTGGCCGCCGTGTAGACAGCGCAAACGCCGGGCGGCTTCCCGGGCCTGAGGTCTGGGGGCTTCCCGGTGTTGAGGTCTGGGGKYYTYC